AATGACAACGAACTCCTAAAATTGATTCCATTTCTGGAGAAACTCGTAGAGCTGGTAAGTGTTTCCTTTCTGTGGCTCTTGCCAAAAACGTCAGTGAGCTCTTTGAAGTATTTTCACATATTTTAAGGGGTTTTGAGTCACTGAGATTTAGGCTGATGCAGGCCCGGTGTGTCCCTGTGTGACCGGGCTGCTGTGGGCAGGATTTTGGAGTGGGCACAGGGATGTGTTCACACAGCAAAGGGGGAGCTGCTGGCATTGCTGACTGTGCTGGAAACCAAGGGCTGTGGGGCTGGGACATCAGTTATAAGGAATTCTGGGATCTGGGGATGTTTCCATGGCACAGTGCCCGTTGCTGGGAGCGCTGTGTGCCTTTGTTCTTGAAACAAATAAATTACCTCAGATTGTTGTGGATCTTACGTAGTTATTTCTGTAAACCTCTCGAATGACATAATTAATTGCTTATATTTTGTTGTGTCAAAATAGGGGTGTTAGACCATGAACCCTGTGAAAATGTGATTTCTGGCTGTGCTCATTGCCCTAAACCTGCACTTCTCCCCCCAGAACGAAGACGTCCGACCTCACATCAGAGACAGATTTCGCTTGCATGACTTGCTACCCCCCGATTAAAGCCTTTGCTCTCGCTGCCGAGGGGAGGAAATGCAGGACCCTGTTGGACTAATACAAAACATTGCCATTACTGTTGAAATTTTGCATTTTTGTACCCCGTCTTGCTTTTCTTATCTTTGGTGCCCAACACTGATCAAGGGTTACAGAAAGAGACTTTCTACACCTGAGGTTGCCGCCATCACTACAATCCAGTACCCGCAGTAGGGAGGCTAGAACAGAAAAGGCTTTAGAACTAGTGCAACTCCAAGGAAATTTTTTATGTACAGGACATCTGCAGTTTATAAAGAAAATTCTGTTTCTGCCACCAGCAGTTTGACCTGTTAGAAACACAGGATTTTATGATACAACAGAGATTGAAAATGGACTCGGATTTTCTCTCTGTTCGGTGCTCTAAGTGGGTTTGTAGCCACTTTTCTGTTACTTTTAAGATTCTCATTTCAACAGGAATGGCCAGTAAAAGTTGTTTTATTTTTCCTGTTAAGGTTTATAACCTTTTTACATTTTTGACCTGTATTAGATTAGGATTTCATTATGCATTCCTTTTAGTTGAGGCGCTTCATAGTTTTTCTGGAAATAGCCAAATTTTGTTAGTTTTTTATTAAACAGTTGGCTGGCCGTTTCCCTGCTTCGTCTGCCTGCATCCTGTATATTTGTTTAAAAATATTCTCTAGTTTTAGCCCACGTAAGTTTCATTTAGAAAGAAGAAAAAAAAAAACAAAAAAACAAAACAAAACCCCCTGCATTTATATTTTCTTTCTGTAATATTCTACTGTAGTCGAAACCTTTTCAAAAAATCAAGAGACTGGCTAGATAAGAAGATAAGAATTACTAATATTCCGACTATTCTAAACCATTGTGATGGCACGTCCTCCGGACAGAGCAGAGCTGGCAGCGGCCCCGCGGATGGACAAGGAATACCTCACCCTGTGCTGTGCATGGACCCGGCGGGGGGAAGGAGCGTGCTCGGCTGGCAGGTTTGCTGGGATCCCCCTCCTGCTGCCTCGTGCGCTCCAGGACTGCCTGCTCAGCATTCCGGGGAGTGGGGCCTGGGCTGGGCAACCCCTGTGACACTCCTGGTTCCAATCAGCCTCTCCCGGGGGAGCGGGTCCCTGGCAGGGCTCCGCCTGCCATCCCACTGGTTTCCCGAGGGAATAGGCCCCAGCCGTGGCTCCTAATGCAGCGCCCCGGAGGTGATATTTTTGTAACGGTGGGAAATCTGCTTTTCCGGAGGCTTTTTGTGGAAGGTGGAATTTGTACGAGGTGGGGAGTTTTGCCTCTCGACTGCATTACCACGCCACAGGCTCGGACTGGTTTTGTGTAAAAGATGTCACAGAACGGCACTTTTTCTAAAGAGAAGTTTGCTATTTTGTATGCTTGATAAGAAAGTACAGTATTGGAAATTAAAGGTGGACAGCTGATAATTGAGAAGTATGTCAATTAATTTTTTATGTATATTACCTGTTTACTTGTACAATTTTATTGTACAAATTACATGCAGCTTCATTTTCAAATGAGTCCTTAAAATAAGGAAAATCTTTTTAGCAAAACATTTAATTTTTGTATTTTTGATTTTAAAAGGCATGAGTTATGTCAACTTTTTCCAGTGTATTAATGAAGATTTTAACTTTTCATCAGGTTGAGTGTTTTCTTACTATATTATCTGTTGTGTATGTAGCTAGCACATGGTGTCACTGAACTGTTAAACTTAGCATGTAGAGCAAGCCTGTTTTGTGGAAAATCCTTATTCATTAAAAACAAAATCATCATGGCAGATTTTCTGCAAAAAAAAAGTGAAAACATTTGCAATTCAGAATACTGATTTTTTTTGTATTTAAAGAAAGGTATTTTGCTTGCAGGAAAGAAATACTACAGATTCATTTTAATGAGAATCTTTTAAATGTATTTATCTTTAGGGCATCTGGGCATCTTTACGCTGTTTGTCTTATGTCTTTATTGAAATAAAATGTACAGAACATTACCTTTACATCTGCTTCGCGCAGCCGTGTCGCCCTGGGCAGCCCCTCCCTGGGGGCTGTGCCCATGGCTCTGGAAGGATTGCTGGATTTTGGAAGGGTGCAGGAGCTGCTCCTTGGTCTGCCGGCTCGTTGTGAGTTGTTCTTTGGAAGGTCAGTCTGAACTGGAGGGGTTTCATTAGTTTAAGGACAAGGCTTTGTGTAATGGGGGTTCCTCCGAGTCTCTCACGTCACAGAACTGCTGTCAATGCCCTGACCTGCCAGAGCGAGCCCGGTTTTGTTTGGTTCTGGCCTTTCTCTGGCTGTAAAGGGTGTGCAGCTGATGAGATAATGTCCTTGTCTCCAGGTCCTCTCAGTGCTCCCCCCGTTCCAGAGGAGCTGCTGGAGCTGAGGAGACCAAGCCACGTTGCACTCTGGAGCTGTGTCTGTTGTGCCGAGCAGATCCGTGAGGGAAGCCCGACTGTCAGCGGGGGATTTAGCTCTGCGTGGCTGCACAGGGGACAGACACTGCTCAGGAAACAACCCAGTGTTCCTGTTCCTGTGCTGCCAGTCTGCTGTTTGTCACCGAACTCTGCAGAAGGGTTCTGCCTCCTGCAAAATGTCCCTTCCTAGAGATGTCAAACCCTTCTGAAAAGAAGCAGAGTTTTAATGCACAGGTTTTATTTCTCTTGTTTGTCTCGAGGGTGAGTTCCCTGTTCCTTGGCAGAGGGGCTGGGCCAGGTTGTGTCCCCAGAATCACTCCTGTGACCAGGGCAGGCTCAGCCACGGGTGTTACTGAGCCTTGAATGTCTTGAACTCAAGCAGTGCATCTGCAGCTGGATCATTTATTATTTCATGTGTTATTGGGAAGTACAACAACCTGTTTTCAAAGTGCTGAATGTTTTCTTGTGTGGTCTCTTGCTGGATTCTGGTGACCCTGTGTCCATTTTCCATGTCTCCGTGGATTCTGTTCTAGGTTGGAGCATCTTGGTTCTGGCAGCACAAAACCAGTTTTGGCAATCCCTGTTCAACCCTTTGTTTTCCCTGGCGTTGCTCTGTAGCCGGAACAGCCCTCACTTTGGTGCTGGTGTCGCCTTCCACCTTGGATTCACCCCAGCTGCCATTTTTCATTACTTTTGAACGTGTCAGGAGGCCTGGATGTCTCAGGAGCGGATCAGAAATCTCCCAAGGGCGGCAGGAGGAGACAGATCAACTCTGGGCAAAGCCCTTAAACTGGTGTCAAAGCTCAGGGGTGAGCAGTGAGCTCAGTGAGCTGCAGAAGCTCTTCCACAGCACATCCCCCTCCCCAAACTCTGCTCTGTCCAGCGCTGGAGCCCAGGGCACTCAGGGATGGCTGGATTGCTGCAGCTGGAGAGCACCGAGCCTGCTGGGAAGAGGGACCAGCAAGGAGTGGATGAAGAGGAAGAGTGGGCACAAGTCCCACCAGCCCAGGGACTGGGCCTGCGGTCTGGAACAGAGCCAAAGGGAAGGAAAGCCGAGCAGGAGCACAAATACTGGGATTCTGCTGACTAAATACCCATATTGCCTTAACTTTCCTCTGGAGGCTGGTGGACTTGGTGAGGATATAACCTGGGACATTGTTGGATCCATAGTTACGTCTCCGTTATTTATATGGCCTGGTGAACGGGGGCCAAGGAGGAAAGGATGATAAGTTTGGAAGTCCTGTTTTCACTAGCTCATGTCTATCATAGTGTCAGAGACCATTCAATTGTTACGTGAAAGACATACATTTATTAACTTCAGACAAAATATGGGAGCTGGCAGTGAAATGAACGGGATGAAGGGAATGTTCCCAGCTTTTCTCTATTCGGTGTTATGTGACAGAGGGGGAAGGAGGAAAAGCACACCCCCAAGAGGTGGACAAACCGTGCCAGGGCGTTCCGGAGCGGAGCAGAGCACGGGGCGAGCGCAGTGGCCGTGGCACAGTCCATGCCCGTGTTCGGGGCACAGATCCAGCGAGGGGCAGCGCCGGGTGCCGCTCCCAGCCCGGCTATCGGGGCCGAGGGGCCGGGGCGTCTCCCGCGGCTGCAGCTCCGCGATAGCGCCGGGGCGGGAGGGAGGAAAAGGAGCTTCCCCCGGAGAGCCCCGTGCCTGCGGGCCCGGGGAGCGGCAGGGCGGGCAGGGTCGGGATCCCGGTCCCGGTCCCGATCCCATCTCCATCCCTATCCTATCCCATCCCATCTCCATCCCTATCCTATCCCATCCCATCTCCATCCCTATCCCATCCCTATCCCATCCCATCCCATCCCATCCCTATCCCATCCCATCCCATCCTGTCCCCTCCCCGTTCCCGCCATGGCTGTCGTGGCCCCGCCCCTCTGGGGGCGTGTCGGGGGGGGCGTGTCCGGGGGGCGTGTCCGCGCCGCCGCCGTCCCGTGGTGCCGCGCGCGCTCCCCGCGGCCGGGCAAGATGGCGGCGGAGGCGGCGGACTCGTGGGGTGGGTGCGGCGGGGCCGGGGCCGGGGGGGCCGGGGGTGCGGGGGGACCCCCGCCCCTCACCCGCTGCTCTCCCCACAGACGCCGACAGCTTCGAGGTGGTGGAGCCGGTGGCGAAGCGGCTGGTGCCGGGGGTGGCCGGGGACCGCTGGGCCGGCGAGGATGAGGAGGACGATGTGAAGGTGCGGCGGGCGGGCCCTGCCGGGCCCCGCGGGGCGGGCGGCTCTGCCGGGCGGCGGGGCCGGGGCAGGGGCGCTGCGAGCGCCCCCGGGACGCGGCGGGGCCCCCACAGGCCGCGAGGGCTCCGCCCGGGCGGCTCCGACCCCGGGCCGGCCACGGCGACGGGTCCAAGGCCGGGCGAGCCCGGGCCGGGCCTGCCCCGTGTCCCGCAGCCCCCGCTGCCGGGGCGTGCAGGGGAGGAGAGGACGGACAGAGGCTCGGGAAGCCTGAAGTGGCAGCTCCTGCTCCCTGCGGGATCCACCTGCTGCTTCCCGGGCCCTGGGCACCTTCCCGGCCCTTCGTGCCCGTCCCGGGCCGTGGCTGTCCCGGGGTGAGGCGGCAGGGCCGGCTTTGGTGACGGCAGTGCTGTGCTGGCGCTTCTCTGCTGACCAGACACTTCTGGGCTGCCCCAGCACGTCTTTGTCACCTGTTCTCGCTTCTTCACAGCCCGTGAAAAGGGTTTTTGCTCTGTTTCAGGGTGATGTCGGTTTGGGACGGGGGTTGAAACGCGTGGATGACCATTCCCGGTGCTCCTGAAGGCAGGGCTTCCCCAGGGGCTGTTTGATCCTGCTCGGTCCCAGCTGCCCCTCGGCAGGGTGGGGGTGCCACAGAAACCTCCTTTGCTCCCTGTCCCTGTGGAGAATGCAGAGGGGTGCAGGGAACACACAGGGAATGTGCCAGATGGATTTCAAGGCCAGGTTGGACGGGGCTTGGAGCAGCCTGGTCTACTGGAAGGTGTCCCTGCCCATGGCAGGGGATGGGACTGGATGGGCTTTGAGGTCCCTTCCAACCCAAACCATTCCAGGATTCCACGAGTAATATTTAGTCAATCAAAAAGAACCTCTTTGTTTCCATTGCAGCCCTTGGACATTGTAACAGGCCCTGGGTCACTGTAACAGGGGGGAAGGTTCCTGCAGTTCCTGCCCTGGAGTGTTGCTGGTGCTGGGTGAGGCCTGGGTTTGGTGGCCTGGACACTGTTACCAGCATCTGTGGAAAACACCAGCAGTTGTTCTCGGGGCCCAGGGAGGGGTTCTGTCCACAAACACTGCAAAAAGTTCATCTTCTCTTCCAGAAAACCAAAAGTTACCAAATTCCTGTGAGTTACATTTGTCCACTTCCCTCCTCAAATTCAGTGGCTGCCACGGCCCGGGGTGTCCCAGGTGACACCGGGAGCAGCAGGACAAGGCCAGGGGTGGGGACAGCAGCTCCAGGCCTGGGAACAGAGCGGGGTGGGAGTGACACAGGTGTGTGTGGGATCTGTACACCTGGGGGTTGTACAGGTGCAGCTCAGACTCCTCTCTGCCACATTTCCTTCCCTGGAAAGCTTTCCTGCTGGGATGCAGTGCGTCCAGGAGAGCTGGGCTGGTTCTGCTGAGCACACCTGGGGGTTCTGTGTCTGTTTAACAAAAGAGCAAAGGTTCCTCACATGGAATCCCTGAATCCCAGGCTGATTTGGGTGGAAGGGACCTTAAAGCTCGTCCAGTCCCACCCCCTGCCATGGGCAGGGACACCTTCCACCAGCCCAGGTTGCTCCAACCTGGCCTTGGACACTTCCAGGGATCCAGGGGCAGCCACAGCTTCTCTGTCCAACCTGTGCCAGGGCCTGCCCACCCTCCCAGGGAAGGGTTATTCCCAATATCCCATCTCTCCCTGTCCTCTGGCAGTGGGAAGCCATTTTACATCTTGCATTTTATATCTCACATGTAATAAGAATGCAACTACTTAACTATTTCCAGGGGATTATGGATTTAGAACTGGAGCTCCATCTAGGGAGGATCCAGCAAAGGCAGGTGGTTTGTTTTGGTTTGTTTTCCTTTGATTTGCTCTTCCTGCCCAAACCCCAGAGTCCCCAGAGCTGAGCTGGGGGTGGTGTCAGGCTCTGGATTCCTCAGTGCAAGGGCCCCCTGTGGGGAAATTCCCCTGTGAGGGAAATGACGTGGCCTAAACCAGCAGCACAGGGTGTTTTCTGACCAGGAGTTGTCCGAAGGGATTTCACGCTTTGGAATGTGCTTTGTGTCTCCAGATCTGTGGTTTATTTTGGAAGATTCTTTAGGAGTGAACTTGCAGTAACTGCTAGCTGGGAAAGGTTTAAAATTAGCACCTTTGGTAACAGAACTCCTCAGTGCTCCCCAGCACACACGGTCCCAGCAGTTGGGCCCCTGCCAGGGAATTTTGATGTATTGACTCAGTGCTCTGGCAGAGCCAGAGCTGAGCAGGGCCTGTCCCACCCACGTGCCCTGGACCTGTCACTTCCCAGGCCTGTCTCCTTGGAGGTTGTTTCGGGGGCCCTGGTGTAGTTGGAATGCAGGAACGGTGTTGAAGTACTTGGAATAAAGGTGTTCTCTTGGAATTACTGCAGCAGTGCAAAGACACAGCACTGAGGCAGTTTGCTCTTCCTGCAGGAGAGCTCCCTGGGGTTTATAATCCAGGCACAGCTGGCAGGCCATGGAATTCCCTGGGGTTTATAATCCAGGCACAGCTGGCAGGCCATGGAATTCCCTGGGGTTATAATCCAGGCACAGCTGGCAGGCCATGGAATTCCCTGCAGTTATAATCCAGGCACAGCTGGCAGGCCATGGATTTCCCTGGGGTTTATAATCCAGGCACAGCTGGCAGGCCATGGAATTCCCTGGGGTTTATAATCCAGGCACAGCTGGCAGGCCATGGAATTCCCTGGGGTTTATAATCCAGGCACAGCTGGCAGGCCATGGAATTCCCTGCAGTTCCTAGGCCAGCAGGGCTGGCAGGAGGGCTCTGCCAGGGGTCAGAGCACGCCTCATCACGTGGAGCCCCTGCCCACGTGCCCTCTGGGAGGTCTCCCAGGCATCCCAGTGACATGGAGTGTTCTCCCTCCATCCCTCCTGACCAGGCCCTTCCCCTGGAGGTTGTACCTGATTCCCAGCCCTGGCCATGGAGGATGGGGCAGGGGCAGAGGCAGCTCCTGCAGTGCTGAGTGGAGCTATGAGGGTGTAACAAGCTCTTAATTAATGGAAGCTAAAATAATGCTGCTCCAGACTCAAGTCAGCTCCTTGGAATGTGGCAGGGAAGCCGAGTTCCCTGGAAGTGCCAATTAACCGGGATGAGCTGGTGGATGGACTCGGTGTCTCCTTGCTTGGATCAGCACATCCCAGTGGGACGTGGGGCTCTGCACCAACACCTCTGGGGGAGCCTCCCAGGAAATCCCTGCCTGCTTTGCTTGGCCCCTCACGTGGCTGTTGGGGGTGGGAACAGGGAATGATCTGTGTGTGGGAAGAGTCCTCTGGTGGCTCCTGTGCTTGTAAAAAGGAGCTGTTCTTGGTCAGAACATCGGCATGGGAAGGTTTAGGTGGGATATCAGGAATGTTTTGTCATGGAAAGGCTTGTGACCTGGTTGTCGTAGCTATTGACCTGAACTGATGGTTTGACCAAAAACTGCCTTTTTCATGGTACAAACTTGTCCAAAACAGTGTGGACAGCCCCCAAAAGCTGTTGTGCTGCAGCTCTCACAGCTCCCTCACTCTGACACGTGAGATTAATGCGTCTGTGGGCATTTAAAGAGGCTCAGAGTGTCTCTAAAGGAATCTTTATTGTTTTGCAGGATAACTGGGATGATGAGGAGGAAGAGGAGGAGGTAAAGGAGACAGAGGTAAAACAAGGTAAGTCTTAAAGGTAACACCTGGCTGTGTGTCAGCATCAGAATGGACACTGATTTTGTGGGGGGGTGTGAGGATGCAAACCTGGCTGGGGCTGGGGCTGGATTTAACAAAAGGGTGTCTTTCCCTCTGTGTTCAGCTCCCAGTAGCTGAGCTGGGTGGCTTTGAGTGTTTGTGATTGTGGGAGGAAAAAAACTCATCCTCTGAACTCTTGAGGGCTGCATTCATTGTTCATGTCTTACAGAACCGAAAGTTTCAGAAAAAAAGAAAATAGCAGAAAAAATCAAAGAAAAAGAAAAGCTACAGAAGAAAAAGCAAGAGGAGCTTAAAAAAAGGGTAATTCCAGATTTCTCCTGGGTTTTATGAATTTCAGAGGGCAGGTTTGATGGGTCGTTTTGGAGGTTGAACAAGACCTGCAAGAAGGGTCTTGACTCGTCTGACAGACCGACCGTAGGTGTTGTAGGCGATCCCATCCAGGGCTTTAGTTCCTGTGGGATTGAACCAGTGATGGGAGCAGCGTTCCCCCAGCTCCTCTGGGGGCACCAGTGATGGCACAGGCAGGTGTGGGAGCTCACAGTGTGGTGACCATTTCCTGGCACGGGGCACTGCTCTGCCCAGGGGTGGTTTCCAGCTCTGTCCATGCCCAGGCTGACCCGAGGCAGAAGGGAGCAGTTCAGTGGCCCTGCAGGAACCCCCACATCCCAAATGTGCCATTTTCCCCTGTGTGCATCTCCCCCCAGTTAGAGGCACCAGAGGAGCAGAAGGAGCTCACACCAGAAGAACAGTTGGCAGACAAACTACGGCTAAAGAAGCTACAAGAGGAGTCGGACCTTGAGTTAGCAAAGGAAACATTTGGTGAGTGTCAGATCAGTCAACCTGTGGGACCCTGCAAAGGCCTGAGCAGGGCTTGGCTCTCTTCTTGTGGCACTGAGAACAAAGAACTGGCAGAGATGCTGATGCACAGCAGCATTCCTCAAAGAGGGAAGCGTCCTCCCTTGGTTACAGTGAGTGATTCAGCTCATTGCTCAGGGGCAGTGGTGCTGTGAGTTGTCAGAGCTTGAGGGGTGCACTGAATACACCTGCAAAGAACCAGCCTGAGTTTTGCACTCAGGAGCTTGAGACAGGAATGGTTTATGGGAGGGGAGAGGGGCCTCGTGCAGTGCAGGTTGTCCAGAGAACAGGAACAGCTGAATCAAACCCCTGAGCTTGAAGGAGGGTTAGAGACAGACTTTGGACAAGGGGGAATGGCTTCCCACTGCCAGAGGGCAGAGTTAATGGGATACTGGGAATGATTCTCCCCTGGGAGGGTGGGCAGGCCCTGGCACAGGTTGCCCAGAGAAGCTGTGGCTGCTCCTGGATCCCTGGAAGCGTCCAAGGCCAGGTTGGAGCAGCCTGGGCTGGTGGAAGGTGTCCCTGCCCATGGCAGGGGGTGGGACTGGATGATCTTTAATGTCGCTTCCAACCCAGCTCATTCAGGATTCTAATGAAATTATGGAGTTTTGCAGCAAAATACCCTCCTGTAAGGCCGAGGAGTCGGGGTTGGCTTTGTGAGGAGCAGAGCTCAGAGGGGCGGGAGCAGCCAGGCCAGCTCGGGGGTCACCTTTTAGGGTCCCAGCTCGTGCTCTCTGTAACCTCTGTCTTTCCATGCAGGTGTAAATAACACTTGTGGAATAGATGCCATGAATCCCTCTACAAAAGACGACTTCACGGAATTTGGCAAACTCCTAAAGGAGAAAATCACGCAGTACGAGAAGTCCTTACATTACGCCGGGTTTTTGGAAGCGTTAGTTCGGGACGTCTGTATCTCCTGTAAGTTCAGACACCCCACAGCCCTGCTGCCACATTGGGGTGGAGCTGGAGTGGAAAACATGCTGTGATAGGGAATGTTCAGTGGGGATGATGGCTCTGTGGAGTTTGCACTAAATGAAGCACTGACCTGATTCCATTCCCACAAACTCCGCTTAGGATTCTCTCGTACAGGAGCTGCTCTCTCTGCACATCAGTGAGAGACTGTCATTTAAAAAGTGTGAATTTTTATACTTATCTAAATCCTGCATGTTTTCCTCGAAGCCTTTTTTAAAAAAAAATTAAATTATTCTCTAAGGCAGATAACTTTGAGTTTCCCTCATTTGGGGGGAAACACTATTCTAAAATTGTATAATTCTGGGACTGCAGATTAATTGTTCTGGAATTCAGTGTGTAACTATGCAGAGAGAAACCACTTCAAACCCCTTTTCCCACTGCCCTGGTGGCTGAACTGGGAGAACTCACAGGGATCTGTCCTGTCCTGTCCCCAGTTGTCCTTCAGGGAGAGGTAACTCGATCCCAGCCAGGGTAAATCCAGCCATCCTGGCTGGCAGCTGGCACCTTCCATCTCAGACAGATTCCAGAGCCCCTGAGGAGGGGGACTGCCAACCTCTCTCACCATTTAGTGGCAATAATTTATTGTTAATCCACTGCTCCTTTTGATACATTTTACTCTGTTTTACTGTTTCCATATCTTCCTCTTCAGATGCCTCATTAGGACTCTTTGTGTTCAGTAACTTAATTTGTAAGTTTTACTTTCTACAACACTCAGGCTTCCAAGGCACCAACTGGAATCCTGGTTAGGATTGTAAGGCCCAGAACCTTTCAGTCTGATTTGGTGATTTAAATGAAGATCTTGCCCAGAGCTATGCTAATGCTTGGTTCTAGTTTTGAGACTGTTGATGATGTTATTTAACATTTAACTGCTTTGTAAGAACAACACTGATGAGGAATCTTTTCCTTTTATCCTTTCCCCTCCCCCCCCAATGCAGTGGAAGTGGATGATTTGAAAAAGATCACAAACACTCTGACAGTACTATGCAGTGAAAAACAAAAACAGGAGAAGGTAAGATGATTCCTCGGGGGTCACTGTGGGGGCTCCCCTGGGCAGTGCTGACAGGGTAACTCTGACTTAACTGCTGGGTCTGGGGGAGTAGGAGGGGAAATGAGCCCCTTGGATGCTGCTGTACTGTTAAATCCTCTTTGCTGTGTGAGGTGAGCAGGAGTTGGTTGAATCTCAAGATTCCAGGCAAAACAGTGATGGATTTCCACGCAGAGAGCGGGTGGGGTGGAAACATCAGCACTGGGACACTGAGTGCTCATAGCCAGGGGGTCACTGACTGGGGCAGTGCGCAGATAAACACCCTCCCCTCCCTCCTGCAGAATAAAGCCAGAAAGAAGAAAAAAGGGGTTGTTCCTGGCGGGGGGCTGAAGGCGACCATGAAAGACGACCTGGCCGACTACGGGGGCTACGACGGCGAGTACGTACAAGACTTTGAAGACTTCATGTGACATTTATCTCCTCTCTGTTGTCTCTCTGTTGCCCATAATCCCTTAAACATGTAGCACAACTTTTCTTCCTTTAAATTCTGCCAAATGCTACAATCAGAATTGCAGTATCTGTGTGCTGGGGGTTGGACGTGCCCAGCCCGGGAGGAAGCCCCGGGCCGGGGTAGAAGGGAAAAGCTCTGAAAATTGCAGTTAAAAACCCAAAATTCTGAGAATGGGCACTGCTGCTATTTAATTTGGTAGCAACAGCCAGTAGATTGGGAAGGAATTGGAAGGGGTGAAGGATTACAGCCAGCACAGCTCCGTGGCGTGGCCTCCCCTGCCCCTGCCCCTGTCCAGGGGCCGCTGGCAGCAAGGGCAGGGTGTGCAGGCAGAGTCCCCGTCGCTTTGAGGCAGAGCTTGAGGTTCTCAGCACTGGGGGAAGGGCACTGCTAACTCCGTGTGGGATACTGCACCTGGGAGCCTGTCCCCTGGGCCAGCCCTGCTCCACAGCCTGGGGCAGAGCCAGGCACACCCACTTGTGTCTCCAGGATGAACTTTAGTTCCAGTCACCTAAATTTCTACTAATGCAGCTGTTGGGGTGGGTGTTCTTTAACAGTTAATTAATGGATTTCAGTGTAAAACAAAAACCAAGCCACGAGACTTCCTTGGGGCTCTCCTGGGGTGTGGTGGGTCTTTCGTGACTCTGCCCTTTTCTTTCATTAAAAACCAAACTTGCTTTGCAAACTGCAGCAGTTCCTCCAGTTGGGCAAATTGTTATGTTAACAATTACAACATCTGCAATGTTTTATAAAGCAACTAATTTAATAAAAATCACTATTGAGGACTTCACCAGGCTGGCCTTGGAGCAGTTCTTTTTGGGACCTGGCAAGAGAAATAAATACCTGAAGAGGGAGCTTTGCAAAGCTAAGCTGTGCTGGGTCTGTGCTGACTGCCTGGGCCTGGAAAGGAGGTCAATAGTTATATACATAGTTATATTTAATATCTGTATTAATACTGAATAACATTTGCACTCAATTACTTCTTTTACTTCAGGACAGCAGAATTAGGAATGTGCTGTTTGAAGCTGTACAAGACCTTAGAAAACAAGCCCAGTCTAATCAGACTGGACTCAGAGAACGGATTATCCTCATGTGTACCTGAAACCTTTACTAATTCTGCTTATTCCACCCCCTTGTACTGGATATTCTGCACAGCTGTTGGGATACAATGCCTGGGGTGCTCCCTCCCCCACACCCCTAATTTAAAGGGTGGATCTCTGCTCCATGCCCACCTGTGCCACTCTGTATCTGCTGGTGGCTCCAGTAATTTATAAACAGTAAGATTTATTACTATACAAGCACAATTTTAGGTTAACACAGTGTCAGCATTTTAAATATTTACAACCACCACCAGATTTCTGGAGTAACTTTGTCTCAGCAGCAGAGCCCTGGGAGCAGGTCACTGATAAAATCTGTGTTATCAGCACTGACCCTGCAGGAAGCGTGGCAGCCAGGCTGTGCTCCAGGGCTGCAATTCAGCTGGATAACAGGTCATTGAGGCAGCAGCCGGTCTGAGGGTCCTTCAGCAGGGAATTGGCCACATCGTAGAACTTGTGGTCGTAGGCCAGCCTGTAGTAGGTGTAAATGTCCTCACAGTGGGCCAGGAACCGCTTCAGGTTCTTCAGAGCAGCGTCAGCAGGGGGGTGTTGTTTGACCCTGAAAACAATTGCACTGTAACTGAAACAGAAAAGCTTCCCAGGCACCAAGAGACTCCTGCTCTGGGCCTGGAACAAGAGCTCCCTGTTTGTCCAGCTCAGGAACGAGGGTGGAGCAGTGCTCCTTCCACCGAGTGCTCAGGAAACTAAACCTACAAAGAAATTGTCCCTGGGAGGGTGGGGAGGCCCTGGCACAGGGTGCCCAGAGCAGATGGGTCCCTCCCTACCCAAACCATCCCAGGATTCCATGATTCCACCTCCAGCCCCTGCATATCCCGAGAAGGTTTAACGCTTCCACGCTGCCAAAGCTGCTCCTCCCGAGGCCCCTGCGGAGAACAAAGCTGCACTTGGAGCACAGAACTCACTTCTTGGCCACCTCCTCGAACAGGCCGGGCCTCAGTGGCCTCTGCTGCTTGAACTCCTCCAGGTAGGTGAAGTCCCCCTTGGTGATCACCTGCTGGTGCAGAACCTCAGCCCAGTCCGGGAGGAACTCGTAGGCCTCGGCCACGATCGCTGCCTGCAGGGAGAGCAGGGGCTGCAGTTACTGACAGGAGAGGGCTGATGGCACAGAAAATACTGAAACACTCCAGGTCTCCTGCTTGGCCCTTCTCGTGAGCAGCTGGAGTGCAGAGCAACAAAGGTAACAAAGTACAGCACATAATATTCCCTAACCCCTAAACAAGGTGGCAGAGGGGGGGTTCTCTGTTCTCTTCTAGATAAACCCTTTTGTTTCTTATTTCCAAATTTACAAACTGATGGATGTCAATGTAAATTACATTTAAAGCCCATCCAGTCCCACCCCCTGCCATGGGCAGGGACACCTTCCACTGTCCCAGGTTGCTCCAAGCCCCGTCCAGCCTGGCCTTGGGACACTTCCAGGGATCCAGGGGCAGCCACAGCTTCTCTGTCCAACCTGTGCCAGGGCCTGCCCACCCTCCCAGGAAGAACCTTTTCCCAATATCCCATCTCTCGCTGCCCTCTGGCACTGGGAAGCCATTCCCTGTGCCCATCCCTTGTATATCACAGGATATATATTTGGGACAACAGCCATGGGCTGTGGGGGGCCAGAACGACCCGAGGGAGCCCAGCTCACCTGGTAGAACCTGGGCAGGGCCAGGATGGTGTCCATCAGGTCCTGCCTGCCCAGGTTGATGATCCTGGTGCTCTGCCCCGAGCCCAGGAAGTGCAGCTGCAGCGTGATGAGCCTGGTGAGGCGGCGGCAGCGCAGGGACTGCCGCACACACGAGTCCTGGGACACAACAACAGCCTGAGCTGGGCTCAGAACACGCCTGAGAGCAGCCAAGAGCTCAGAGCTGGGCAGGGCTGGAGAGCAGGTTTAGCGCTGATCACACTCCCATAGTCTCAAGCACAGCTTCACTCCCCACAAATACTTCCATCATAATCACAGCCTGTTTTAAACACTTTGTTCTACTCTTGCTCACTAAGCTTTCACATAAGAGTAAGACACAGAAACACAAAAAATATTGTAACCTTATTTTATGGCCACCAAAGCTTACCCTTTTTCTTAAGTTTGGGGATGCTAAATTTGCATACACAGTGTGTCAGGACACCCACAGCATCCCACCTCTCTTGCATTTTGCTGTCCAGGAAGGAAAGGCATTTTATTTCCTTCAGGCATTCAAAATACAGCTCTGTGCCTAAAAACGCAGCAGCACAGACCAGTGTGCTTAATGGAATAGCTGTGGTAAAGTACCACACCTGTATCCAGAACATTAAAGCCTGGATGGTCCCTGCTCTGAACCTGGGAACTGACCTGTAACCCCAGGGGTTAAAGCCTGAGCAGGGGCCAGCACAGCACCCTCAGGCACAGCTCTTACTGGGGCTGCTGGAGCCACTGGGCTGGCACAGACAGAGATTCCCTTGTTCCTTTTCCAAAGGCCAGGATGCTGCAAACCCTCCCCAGAGCAGCTCTGCGTGTTCTCCCAGCTCAGCCCACTCCTGATGCGCTCCCAAATCTATACACAAGTCATTCCACTCCACCTCACTTTACCTTGGAGTAACTTTCTGCTGCATCAATGAAGAGAGTCAGAGCTTTCAGCAGCAGCTTCTTTAAATTTGCAACATCCTGGAGAGACTCCTCTGAAACAGGAGAAAAAAAAAAAAAGGAATAACCAATTATAAAGGTAAGTAAGTTACACAAATCCCTTCCAGTGCCAGCTCTGTCCCTGGCGGTGCCTCAGAAAGCAACAACAGACTAAACCTAAATTTTTGTTTTAAGAAAGCCGGAAAAAACACAATGCCTGTTCAGTGAATGGAGCACAGGTACTGCTGGAGCCTGGGCAAGTGACTGAGGAAGTGGAAAGAGACCCCAGGCACACATTTGTGGTAGATCCCAGCAGTGACCATTACCAGATCAATTCAGAAATCGTTGGCTCAGCTCCTGCTTTGGCTGCTGGTCCAGCAGTGGCTGCTGGCTCTGCAGAGCTCCCTGTGCCCCTCCCAGCTGTGCAGAGCTCACACAGGGCACGCTGGACACTTCCCTTGCACAGACAAAACCCCCACACTCCACACACAACACAAAACCACTGTGCCCCATCCCGTTCAAGTGAGGAGAACACGGCGTGTCCCACGTGAGGTACCCAGGGATGGCACACCAAGGAAGAGCCCAAACTGCCCCTCTGGAGAACAGCCAGGCACTCAGGAACGGTTCAGGACGAGAACCACCCCAGCCTGGCAGGCAGGAGCAGCTCAAGGGACGTCAGCAGACACAAAGGAGCTCTCCCCTCCCCCTGTACTGACCCCAGGGCCGGGACTCGATGAGTTTGAGCTGGGTGCGGGCGGCAGCCTCGTGGTTCTCGCCGATCTCCCTGCACATGCTGAAGCACAGGGCGATCATGTTGTGCTTCTCGCTGTCCCCGGGCCGGCAGCGCTTGATGTACTCGAGCAGCGCCGTCTTCAGCGTCCCACTCTGGGGAGGGAGGGGCACTCTGAGCCCGGCCTTTGCTGTCACCCACACTTGGGTACCCACAAGCAACTCTGCTACTGCGTCCCAAAACGTGAGCACTACACTCTCCCTACTTGAGAGTCACCCTTGGGCTCAACTGCATCATGCTGGGCAAGAAAATCCAGCACCTGTGCATTTCTCTACGTACAAATATCAAAAGTGACTTATTTTAAACAAAGCTATGAATATTTATGATTTTTAAAACCCCCACGAAACTTTAACTGGAAGTAAAAGCAAAGCAGGACGTGAAAACTCTGACAGTGCCAAGTCTGAAGTTACCACACCGCTCTCACTGCAGCCCTGAACTAATTAGAAAAAAACTGGTTCAACTAAATGTAGAACAACCCCAGGATTAATTTATTTCTATGAAACTCGACTCACGGTTCCTGCACTCCAATCAGTAAAATCCCCAGGTTGTGCAAACACCAGTTTCTGATGCAGCCACACCAGTCCCTGAGTGTTCCCCCCTCCTCCCTCCACGTACCGGGTCCAGTTTCTTCCTCATGAGCACCTCGAAGTGCTGCCTCTGGTGCAGCAGCTCGAAGATGTAGCTCATCTCGTTGTACCTGCCAATGCCCGTGAGCAGCCGCACCTGTGGGACCAGGGCAGCTGAACAACCAACCCCTGCCAGGGCAGGGCCAGCCACACCAGCCTGGCACATGTTCCCTGGAAGCCACAAGGGGTTATTTTTAAACCAACCCATCGCATCCTTTTCACAGGGAGGTGAAAGGACATCATTTTCCCAAATAAAAACAGGCAGGGAACATGTGAGCATGGACACCTTTCCACTGGGCCTCTATGTCCCAGACTCCAGGAATCCTCCCAAGACAGGAATGAAAAATGCCAACAGCCCAGTAATACACATCATCACATTTCACCAGTGACTGAATTACTCTCACATTCCCATTCCAGTTTACTACACTGTTGCCACCTCACTATTCCACTGCCTCCACCTCTGTTTTCCCAGAGAAGTCATTTAAGAGCTTCTGCGACATAAAAACCATCACCTGCACGCAGCAGAGCAAACACTCAAGTCACCCAGTGGTGAATGACTCAGCTCCACCCCTGGAAGTGTCCCAGGCCAGGCTGGACGGGGCTTGGAGCAACCTGGGCTGGTGGAAGGTGTCCCTGCCCGTGGCAGGGGGTGGGACCGGTCCCTTCCAGCCCAAG